TAGGGGAAGCACAACGAGCTGCTATCCGAGAAATCCAGGAGAAAGGACTGGGGGGTGCAAGTGGGGCTGGTCGCCGCAAGCGGAAACAAGCCCAGCAGCTAGAGGATGAGCGTGATCGTGATGATGATGTGGTCGAAGCGGGTGCTTATCGCAGTAAGGCCAAGTCGGGTATAAGTAAACGCCGAAAGTAGTCTACAGATATGTGCATCAACGCGATACGATACCGACTTCTTTGTTCGGGTACGAGAAAGGCTCGTCATCGTTGCGCCGCCAGTAGCGTTTCTTTTTGCCGTCGGCTGTCTGGCACCAAACTTCGACACAATATTTGGCTTTGAACTGACGGATGAAGCGAGGATCCCATAGCTCAGAGGCAATGCCTAGGTCTTTGCAGCAACGCATGAGCGCATTAGACTTGGCACCCTCGTTGGCCGTCGGAATACCAGTGGGGCGGAAGAATTCTTGTTCACCGCGCGCAGTAGACACAAACCGACCCAAGCAGATAAGTGTCCACTCACGACTAAGAATACTTTGAGAAATCTCTGCTTCGCCCTGGGGAGCAAGTCCCCAGCCCCCAGGACCAAATGCGCGATTCAAAATACGACGGTATTTGATCTCCGGGAGATATAGCAGCCCATCCGGTTTGATTTCCACATCCTCCTTTTCGATAGGTTCGCTTAAAATTTTTGCCACTTGAGCGGGGAAAGGCTTCACACCAATTCCATCAAAGCCAGCCTCCCAATGTTTTTCATTCATAGAAGCTTCGGAATTTTCCTTCCATTCATTGAGCGTTTGTGTGACAGGGACCTCGGGTCTGACAGAGCTGGAAGACGACGATGTCGCACGGGTCCTCTCTGCAACCTCAGAGCGCGGAGCTGCCATTTTCTCGGCCCATGTTTGCGTGTTTTTTGTGATCTTTTTGGGTTGGTATGTCAAATAGCGACACCACGTAGCTCGAATAGATGGCAAGCAACGTACACCACGAGCCAGCAGCATGGCGGGGAACTCATTTACGCGTGTGTGTGCTGCAGATGGACTTTGTGTCACGTGATTGAGAAGATGAGAGAGCACTAACCGGTGCCCGGCAAATTCCCACCGTAGCTAATTTTCTGCCATCTTTCCCCACTCCTATGAATAGTTCAGAACAAGGACAAGAGGCCCGAGTCACCATCGAAGAGGTAGAAGCTGTAAATGGGCGAAAACGTTGGGATGAAGAGGAGGCAAGAAACGAAATCGAATCCATTGACAGTCACACTTTATTTGCCAAGGAGGTCGGTGTCACTGTCGACTATGAGCGTCAAGTCTCGCTGATCAATAAAGCCATTCATGAGGAAATCGGGTTTGGGATGTTTCAGATCAAGCTTGTTATTCTGACAGGTTTTGGATGGCTGGCAGACAACATTTGGTTTGAGATTCTCGCAATGACGCTCACGATGGTATCAAAAGAATGGAATATTCATGGCAACGACGTCAAGTGGGCCACATTCTCTCTTTATACTGGTCTTCTTATCGGCTCTCTGTTTTGGGGCTTTTTCTCTGACATCATAGGTCGTCGTCCCTCCTGGAATATCACACTTTTCATTTCTGCTGCATTCGGTATTGCAGTTGGTGGATCCAATAACTTCACTACCTTCTGTGTTTTGCTTGGATGTCTAGGCCTTGGTTTGGGTGGAAATCTTCCTGTTGATGGTGCTATGCTCATTGAATACATTCCAGGTCCGCAACAATGGATCCTCACGTTCCTGTCGTTGTTTTGGTGCTTGGGACAATTGTATGCGGCTTTGATCGGTTGGGCATTTATCGCAAACTATCATTGTAAGGATGTGCTTTCCGATACCAGCACAGCCCCTTGTTTGCGATCCGAGAATTGGGGATGGCGCTACTCTTGGTTCCTTTTGGGTGGCTCAGTCATGGTCATGTGGATCATTCGATTCTTTGTGTACCCCATTCCTGAATCACCTAAATTCCTCTTGGGCACTGGCCGCGAGGAACAGGCTTATCAAGTGCTTTTGTTCATTGCAAAGGAAAACAAGCGATCCACAAAGCTTACTTTTGAGCAATTGAAGAATGCGAAATACGCCCGTGTTGAGAGAGTCAATGGTGAGAACGCACAGCTGAGTGAGGAAGAAAAGGTCAAAAAAGAGGCAGAGACAAGTATTGAGGTGCGTGAGCCTCTAAAGATAAGTCGACTGGGGAAGTGGAACGACTCGTTGTTGGCTCCCAGTCAGATTCGGGAGTCCTGGAAGACTGTCAAGATTGCTCCCATCGCGGCTTTGTTTGCTTCTCGGAAGATGGCTCAAAATACCATCCTAATCTCATTATGTTGGGGTTTGATTGGTCTTGGCTATCCTCTTTATAATTCGTTCATTGCTACCTATCTACAAGATATTGGAAATACCTCCGATGGTACCAGTTCACTGTCAGAGCAGTACCGACAGTTGGTGTACTTTGCTGTTTGTGGTATACCTGGCAGTTTCATTGCTGCTGCAACCGTGGAACTCAAGTACATTGGTCGCCGTCTAACGATGGCCTTTTTCACTTGCCTGACAGGCCTCTTCCTGTTTTTGTTCACCACTGCTCGTACTTCGGATGCAGTGTTGGGTTGGAACTGTGCTACGAGCCTTACTGAGAATGCTATGTATGCTGTTTTGTATGCCTTCACATACGAAGTATTCCCAGCCCCTCAGCGAGGCACTGGCGATGGATTTGCTATGAGCGTGCAGCGCGTGTTTGGCATTGTATCTACTTTGGTGGCGATCTACACGCCCGACTACGAATTCAAACCCCCGATCTACGTATCAGCTTCTTCCTTTATCGTGGCCTCGTTTATCATGATATTCTTGCCCTATGAGCCTCGTGGAAAGACGGCTATTTAAAGGGCTTGTATACAATGTGTTAATAGTTACTGGAATAGTGTAATCACTTGGTGGGTATGGCGACATTGGAAGCACATCATACTAGTCACGTGAATCGGGACAAGATCAGCTCACATAGCATCCCTAGCCACTTCGTCCCTGACTGCTGTCAAGATGCTCTTGCAAGCGATGAAAGCAGCGACTCTTCGCAATGTAACGGGCCCTAAGAGGTTTTTCTCCTCTTCTGCGCGCTTCATGGATGCTGCTCACAAAGTTGTCGTCGTTGGCGGTGGCTCTGCCGGTCTGTCGGTTTCTCACCAACTTCTCAAGTCCGGCAAGTTCGCACAAGACGAAATCGCGATTGTTGAGCCGTCCCCTTATCATCACTACCAGCCTGGTTGGACACTCGTTGGTGCTGGACTGAAGTCCCGTGAAGAGCTTCGCCGGAATGAAAAGTCGCTTGTCGACTCTAAAATTCAGCTTTACGAAGACGCTGTGACCTCTCTGGCACCTGAACAAAACCAGGTTGTCATCGGCTCTGGTGAAAAGATTTCTTACGACCATCTCATTGTTGCCTCTGGCTATGTCATCACTCTGGATGGTATTTCGGGTCTGCGTGAGGCTCTCCAAGACGAAAAGTCCAACGTCACGTCCATTTACACCTATGAAACCGTCGACAAAGTTTTCCCTAAGATTGACCAGTTGAAGGAAGGTCATGCCATTTTCACTCAGCCGGGTTCTCCTATTAAGTGTGCCGGTGCGCCGCAAAAGATTATGTGGCTGGCCCTTGACTACTGGGCAAAGCAAGGTCTTTACAAGAAGCACGACCCGAGCTCGCCTATCAAGATTGACTTTGCTACTGGTCTTCCGGTTATGTTCGGTGTCCCCACATACAGCCAGGTTTTGAACAAGCTCCGTGAAGAACGTGGTGTTGGTGGCCTTTTCCAGCACAACTTGGTCGCCATCGAAGATCAAGGAAAAACTGCTGTGTTCGCTCGCCCCGATGGCGAGAAAGTGCGCAAGACCTTTGACTTCATGCATGTGACGCCCACGATGGCCCCCCCTGAGTTTTTGAAGAAGTCGACGATTGCCAACGAAGCTGGTTTCGCCAATGTGGACAACGAAACCCTGCGCCACGTCAAGTACCAGAACGTTTGGTCACTGGGAGACTCTAGCTCTCTACCCACAAGCAAGACGGCTGCAGCCATCACGGCCCAGGCTCCTGTTTTAGTCTCCAACCTTCTGGCGAGTCTGGATGGACGTGAACCTACTGCAAAGTATGATGGTTATACCTCTTGCCCCTTGTTGACCGAATACGGCAAGGTTCTTTTGGCAGAGTTCAAGTACGAAGGAACTCTGAAGGAAACGTTTTCCAAGTTTGGTATTAACCAGTCCAAGCCGCAACGCGCTTTCTACTACCTGAAGAAGGACTTCTTCCCTTGGATCTACTACAACAACATGGTGAAGGGAACGTGGGCTGGCCCGAAGGGTTTCTTCAGTGGCATTCGCTCCTTCTCTACCAGCGCACGTCAGATGCGCAACACACCCGTTCGTCACCCTCGTGACCCCTTGGACAAGAACGCTCATGCCACTCGCTTTCCCTTGATGTCGGGTGAGACGTTCATTTCTCGTACCCCACCATCCCAAGCATCGAGTCGTATGTCGGTGGAAGCTTCTGACATTTTGTTTGAATCTACCAATGAAACTGTCAACGCTGATGTGGCCACTATGGCCCCTCAGCTTCGTCAGCGCCATCGTCAGGCGCGTGGTGCTTCGAAGATTCTGGATGAAAAAGAAATTATGGAAGTTCAGCAACTTCGCCAAAAGGACCCTTACACCTACACCAGCGGTGTACTTGCGAAACAATTTGGCTGCTCCCCGACGTTTATCAGCATTGTTGCCCCGGCTCCCAAAGAAGTTCGCCAAGCCAGACTCGCTGAGACTGAATTGAAGAAGGCGACGTGGGGTATGAACAAGCGCATCTCTCGTGCTCAGCGCCAGGAACGCCGCGCACTTTGGTAGATGCTTCCGTTAGATTACGATGATTTGAATGATCCAATGGGGATAAACAGTAGGTGTCGGCGACAAGGCCAACGCAGTTTGTGGTACATTAAAATATTATTGAATACTCTCGAAGAGTAAGTTTCAGGCCCAATAGTATAGTCGCATTATACTCCCTTCGGGACATTCAAAGTTCTCTCAGGGGAGCCCTGAAATTGGGAGAGGTCCCGGGTTCAATTCCCGGTTGGGCCCTTTTTGCCATTTTGGGGAAATTTTGCTTAAATCATAATCCTCAGATTTCGCGGATCGCCCGCGCCTTGGCCCAATAGTATAGCCGCATGCTACTCTCTTCCGGTCATGGGACGTTTTCTCAGGGGAGCCCTGACATGGTAAAAGGTCCTGGGTTCAATTCCCGGTTGGGCCCCTTGGCTCCTCGTCATCATGCCATGCCAAGACATAAGACTCTTGTGCACGAAACATACACTTTTTATTCGTTTAATACCTAGAAAACTGTGACCAACGAAGTATCATTCGTCGTCCGATATAACTGATACGGTTTCATTATCGTTCGTGTTCGCTAAAAACGTATGTACATGCAACTTGTTGCAATGGCATAGTATGTACTCGTGGTAATGCCAAGATTTAAGAATACGTAAGACATGCATCATTTAAACACGGTCATTTGACTGGGGTAGGGCATAACATTTGTAACTTGGGCCCAGCGATCGACTTGCTCGATACCTGTGGGATTTTGCAATTGAATATCGCATGCCATACAAGAGCCACATGCAGGTCCAGATTTTTCTTTGACACCTTCCCCGTGAGTGTGCACAGCCATACAGCCATTGCAGCGGCACTTTGAGCCACATTGGCACTCGAGTGAAAAAGATTTGGACATGTCAGCAGCACGAACCAGTAAATCCATAGAACGTTCAGAAGCAACGCGGTCGATGCCTGTTCCAGATTTACAGCAGCTAGTTTGCTTTCCAGGCGTTTCATTCTTACACCGGCTCATTCTGTCGAAGGAGTCAGTTGCTTTCGTTGATGGGGTATAAGCGGGTCGGTTTTGGAGTTCGGTGGCGGGTTTCCGGTCGAAGAGATGGTCCAAATGAGATCGACAGCATGTGCATGCTGCACCCTCTTTACATTTACAAGGATTCAGAATGAATTCAAAAGACAAAGGGCTTTCACGTTTCGTACGAGAACGACCTTCTGTAGGAGAAGGGCGAGTGTTGCGCCTTTTCGCAGGTAATTCTGTGGGCACACTGTTGGGTGTTTGAGAGGCAGTTTTGGCTTTAGCTCGTGCATTGCAGTCGCATCGAGAATGTCTGCCAGTTCGAAGGCGCTTTTCACGGCATTCCGCGCACTGAGACAGGGGACGGCCCCTGCGCTTGACTACTAGCAGTGGACCTTTAGAGCCATCTTGGTGTTTGCATGTCGATGCTCGGTGCCCTTGTATGCAAGTAGCACAGGCAAGCTTCAAAGGAGCCTCACCTTCAGCAGGCATGTAGTTTGTCGCTCAGATGGCAATTCTAAAAGATGGGGGAACGCGTATATGTTGATGACTTGGTGATAGTCTCGGCAGTTAAATAACTTGGCCGGAACAGGGTTTGCCAAGACTACCACGCAATAATCCCTCGCGGAACGACATCGTTGGTCCGATGCCTCCAGTCACAGGAGAGATAAAAATGCGTGCACGTGACATGGATGACAAAGGACAGACTGGTGAGGTCCGCTGTCGCACTTACAGCATTGTGCAGCATGTCAGCAGAAGGACGTGCGCCGCGCATCAAAAATCGCGCACCAGCACCTCTGCAGATTACTGCGGAGCAACTGCTTCGTGAAGCTCAGGAAAGGCAGATCGCTCCTAAGCGAAAAACCCCTCGTTTGCGGATCGAGAGCTATGAAGAGCTGGAGGACTATCGTGCTCGTAAGCGTACTGAATTTGAAGATGCCGTGCGTCGACTTCGTGGAAATGTATGTACATTTGGTTACTTACTTGAAAGATGGTTGCTTGGATTAAATATGCCACATGGGAAGCTACGCAGGGTCAAATGGAGAGATGTCGCTCGGTGTTTGAACGAGCTTTGGATGTGGACCCCCATCATGTGCCGCTTTGGTTGCGCTACTCCGAACAAGAATTGAAAATGCGCAACATAAACCATGCTCGTAACATTTTTGACAGGGCTGTCTCTATTCTTCCGCGGATCGACCAACTGTGGTACAAGTATGTTCATGTTGAGGAACTGCTTGGAAACGTCAGTGGAACACGAGAAATTTTTGAACGATGGATGAGTTGGGAGCCGGATGAACGTGCATGGAACGCCTACATCGCATTTGAGGTGAGATATCACGAGTATGAAAAAGCAAGTGCTGTTTGGGAGCGCGCGGTGACCTGTCATTCGGAGCCAAAGCAGTGGATCAAATGGGCCAAGTACGAGGAAGAGCGCGGAAGTCTTGAGCAAGCACGAAAGGTTTTCCACATGGCTCTTGATTTCTTCGGCGAAGAAGAGGGTGCCCTGGAGCGAGCACAAACTGTCTTTACAGCGTTTGCAAAGATGGAGACAAGACAAGGAGAATATGAACGTGCTCGTATGATCTACAAGTATGCGCTTGAGCGCATCCCGCGTGCGAAGAGCGAAGGCATTTATACCAGCTATACCCGTTTTGAGAAACAATTTGGAAATATCAAAGGAGTTGAGGATACTGTCACTCAGAAACGCCGGTTGCAGTACGAAGAGGAAATTGAAACAACAGATGGAGCGACTGGCAACTACGATATTTGGTTTGACTATTCGCGCTTAGAAGAAGAGTCATTCCGCTCGCTTGTCGATGAGGGTGCTCCCGACACAATGTTGGAACTGGCTCGTACGAAAGTTCGCGACGTATACGAGCGTGCCATTGCCAATGTTCCGCCTACCGCTGAGAAGCGTCTTTGGCGACGTTATATTTACCTTTGGCTCCGATATGCTTTGTTTGAAGAGCTCGATGCGCAAGATTTGGATCGTGCTAAGAAAATCTATGCGGCAGCTGTATCTGTGGTCCCGCATCGCGAATTTACATTTGCCAAGTTATGGTTGAGCTATGCCCAATTTGAAGTGCGACGACTGGATTTATCACTAGCGCGCAAGATCCTCGGAACTGCCATTGGTCTTGCACCTAAGCCCAAGCTCTTCAAGGGCTACATCGAGTTGGAGCTGGCCCTGAAGGAATTCGACCGTGTGAGGACACTGTACGAGAAATTCCTCAAATGGGACCCGAGCAGCTCGGCCACTTGGGTCAAGTTCGCCGAGCTCGAACAGAATCTCTATGATGTTGACAGAGCCCGTGGCATTTACGAGCTCGGAATCCATCAAGCTGAAGTTGAGCATGGCGGGTTGGATATGCCTGAAGTTCTCTGGAAGGCGTATATTGACTTTGAGTTCAGCGAGCGTGAATTCGAACGCGTGGATACCTTGTATGAGCGTCTGCTTGAAAAGACGGGACATGTGAAGGTGTGGATTAGCTATGCCTTGAACAAGATGGCTTCTGTCATTGCCCTCGAAGAAGATGAAGATGCAGATGCGGAGGAGAATGGCGAGGAAGTCACTCTGTCGGAAGAGCAGCAAGCTCAGCGCGCGGCCGCACATGCTCAAGCTGCCCAAGAAACGCGTTCTGTCTTCGAACGTGGCAACCAAAGCTTGCGAGATGAAGGACTTAAAGAAGAGCGTGTGGTACTTCTTGAAGCATGGAAAGCGTTTGAAGCGGAACATGGCGATGAAGCCTCCATGGACAATGTACAGAGCAAGATGCCTCGTGTGACCAAGAAGCGCCACCAGGTGCCCGGAGGCGATGGTGCCATGGAAGAATATTATGACTTGGTATTCCCAGAGGAGGAGGAGCAAAACAAGCCCGCATTAAAACTACTGAAGATGGCCCACGCCTGGCGGGCCCAACAGCAGCAACAGCCGTCAACCTAATGGTAGTGGTATATTAGAGAATATTTTAAGCCCATGCATGGGACCCCATCCGTGCCACCACAACGCGCCCTCGACGACGGATGAGTGCCAGTGTTAGTGCATCATTCCCTGGGCCAAGTAGTGCACTTCAGCCAGCATTTTCATGTTTCTCAGTGGGGGACTGCGAACCATGTCCTACTGACCATGTACGTGATGCCCAACTCACACGTCAAGCTTGCTTACCCTTACTGCCGCCCGTACAACAATCGGCAAGCGGTAAAGTGCTCGCATTTGGAAACGAACCACGAACTACATGGATGGAGTGCCTGTGGGAAGTTTGTCCACGCTGAAGTACGCGCATACTCCGAGTTTGTGGTGTGTAACGTAGATGCGCTAAGAAGCCAGCTCGTGAATGTTGCCATTGTGATAACAGCTCTTGCCATCTATATCTGGCGCCAGCTACATCAGTCACGAAAATACCAAGGAATGTTATACCAACGTGTGCATGGAGGCCCTCATCTCCGAAGAAACCGCACGCGCTCACAGATGTAAAGTAAGATTCAACCACAGAGTATAGCATTACTATCATAGATTATACATGGAAACTGCAATCAGGAAGAGGACATCAAGCCCCAAACCCACAACATCGCCCAAATGAGGAAAGCGCTTAGGATGGGGATGGAAATGTTGTCATCGAGACCGCCCATTTCGAGCGCCTCGGTCACACCCGCAATAAGACCGCATGAAATATACATGGCAACAGGGGGAATGGCAGGGACATGGGACTGCAGCAGAGCCTTCATGCGGTCGCCCACTTTGGCATCGGCTGATTGAAAGCCGCGAGAAAATCCACGCCATCCAGTACGCAGATCGTCCGGCATAAGGGTCGTCCCAAATCGAGCACGTCCACCAGGAGTCCAAGAGAGACCGGAGGAACGCTCACCATGCTGTGCGATACTTGTTCCCCAGAAAAGATAGGCAACAAACGTTCCCATAATAGTGGCAGCAACAAAGCCTGCCAGAGACTTGCGTCGAGCAAAGAGGGGCGAAGGCAGCGACGGTGTGCGTTTTCCAAACAAACGACCGAACGTAGATGCACACGGATCGCACCAAGACAAAATAATGATCGATACGGACGCAATGTCCTCGGGGAAAAGACGCAAGCTCACCATAACACCAATGAGATACCAAATGACGCCGTTCACACGCTCCTGCAATGTTAGTCGTAGTTGCTGCACCTACCTTCTCGCCATTGCGCATCAAAACTCCAAGAACAGACTCATAGATCTGTTCAAAACCCGTGGAATTCAACCG